TGTGCCCATTACTGCCCTATTTGGTCACGGTTGTGCGGGTTGTGGCTTCTCTCGTTTGGTTGCTTGTAAGGTATTGATGTTTGTGCTTGTGTTCCATCGTTTGGTGTGGTTAACTTCTTGAGGTTATCTTGAGATGATTTCGGGGCTTTTTAGTGTCCCCGCGGCCCGGTCCTCGACCAGGCCTCCACCCCCAGGAAGCAGCCCGTGACAGCTGACTAACACCCAGGTACCTATTTTACTGCTAGGTAACAGGGGGCATAGGGTGAAAGAAACTCTGCCCATTGTTTCTCGCCGGCGCCTGGGATCGAACCCAGGACCACAGGATCACAAGTCCAGCGTGCTGTTCGCTCGGCCAACCGGCTCCCTGGTGTCCAGGTGTCCAGGCTTGAAGCATGGTATATATATATATATATATATATATATATATATATATATATATATATATATATATATATATATATATATATATATATATATATATATATATGTCGTACCTAGTAGCCAGAACGCACTTCTCAGCCTACTATGCAATCCCGATTTGCCTAATAAGCCTAGTTTTCATGAATTAATTGGTTTTCGACTACCTACCCTACCTAACCTAACCTAACCTAACTTTTTGGGCTACATAACCAAACCTAACCTATAAAGATAGGTTAGGTTAGGTTAGGTAGGGTAGGTTAGGTTCGGTCATATATCTACGTTAATTTTAACTCCAATAAAAAAAAATTGACCTCATACATAATGAAATGGGTAGCTTTATCATTTTATAAGAAAAAAATTAGAGAAAATATATTAATTCAGGAAAACTTGGCTTATTAGGCAAATCGGGCCTTGCATAGTAGGCTGAGAAGTGAGTTCTGGCTATTAGGTACGACATATATATATATATATGTATACCAGGGGGTGTCGTAGTCCGCTTCTTGCAGTATATTCACTTGAGAGTTTACCCCAGTTTTTGACTGTTCAGGTTTACAGTATACTTGCTGGTTGGTCAGTCAGCTCTTGCGGTGGCTGGTAACGTCCGGCCCGCGGTTGGTAGGCCAACACCACACCTCTCTGGGACATACGGTACTGGGGTCGGAGCAGGCAGGAAGGGCTTCCACCGCGGCCCAGATATCACGTTCCGCGCCTTCTGAAGGTTTTGGCTTCAAATATATTTGTTCGGAGGTAAAAAAATTCGATCAAATGGTGGTGCTTTCACCGGCATTGGTCTAAACTGTACCGAAAAGTGTGTATCTTCGCCGCCAGTATGCGAGGTACCGACGAATATGTCTGCTCTGTTGGAACACACTTTTTGGATGGAGGAATTTGAGTAGTCGCCCATTTCTCTCTGCAGTCTTTGTTGATTGTTTAGCGTCTGGGCGAACGCTAAACAATCTTTACTCGGTAAAGCGAGTAAACTGTACCAGGGATACGGGCTCACCATAGCCCGTGCTACATGGACACTCCGTCCTGAATAGCTAAATCTTTAACAACAACAACTGTACCAGGGAGTGCATTTGTGTATGTATGAAAGACAGGGCCGGTGATCGAGTCAGCATCTTTAATTAAGCCTACGGGCCTAAACGAGTCAGGTCAGCTTCAGGGTGCTTGATTTAAATTGCTCTTGTTGTAATGACGAGAGAGTTGATATGGTTATTCTCGACTTCCTGATAAGGTTTAGTGGGAAGGTCAACATACTCAACACGGGCCATGCTAATTTCTCTCGCAACCCGTTCTCGCACTTGCTTATAGTCAATATCTTGCTTATGAATAAGTGCATATGTGACATACTAATTTATTGTGAATGTTTGAGTTTACCTTGAACAGCTGAATAGAAAACCTCAACCCAACCTAACCTTCTTAGTATGTTAAGATATTATAACCTATACCTATACCTATATTGATATTAAAGTTTTATAAAAATAATAAAACAAAACTAAAATATTTAAATAAATTGTAAAGTAACTCAGGATATTGTCAAATTTTGCATAAAATCTCTATTGTTTAATAAAACTGAGAAAAAGTTAGTGCCTTGAAAAAAATATGGCTTGGAATGTCATATATATACTTATTTATAAGCGAACTAGTGACTATAAGCAATAAGTCATATATGTGCTGTCTTGTGCGAGAGAAGGTTGCAACCTCTCAGATATCGCTAGGATATATCTGATAGTCGTCCTTAAAGTGAGTTATTTTTTCTGTGTGGATATGATAGTTAGCCTTACCTTGAGGTTACCTTGAGGTGCTTCCGGGCCTTAGCGTCCCCGCGGCCCGGTCGTCGACCAGGCCTCCTGGTTGCTGGACTGATCAACCAGGCTGTTGGACGCGGCTGCTCGCAGCCTGACGTATGTCACAGCCTGCTTGATCAGGTATCCTTTCCAGCCTAGCTGGAAATTATTTAAATTGTCAGTTCAAATAATATAAGGAGTAGAGAGGATAAATGTCTACAACATTGAGGGTCAGTGTGGCCCATCGCCTTGAACATAGAGTAGAATCATGAGCAAGTTTTCCAGCTCGTAAGAAAATTAGCTTAGGCCTAGCGAACTCCTTAGTAGACTCCTTCAGAGCTACATTTAATAGTCTATCCCTCAAAGACTCACTAGGGCTAATAACCTAAGACCTAACAAAGATAGACAAAGAGCTTAATAAGGAGAGATCCAAAGTGTAATCTTAAGAAAGGTATCATGCTTCGACACGTCAAGGAATGCAACTGAAATTTATTAAGTGGTTAAGGGATAAGTTGCTGTGGTTGGGGGGTGGGGGGGAGGGTGATATACCACCCTTTCCCTGCCAGTGGGAAGGGCGCCCCCTCCCTTGCAGGGGGCGCCGCAAGATGGTATCAATCACCAACGAGGATAAGGGCGATGTTCTCGTGTGAATTGAACAAGCATTTTGATCCTAACGAGTTATTAATTGCAATGTGAACACGCCACAGAGGAGTTTGTGAGATTCCAGTTATTGACTTGCACTTACAACCGTGCAAATGCATTAGTCGCAATGTAATTTAGATTAAAGCTTAACTGCCAAATTCCTGAATGTATAAATATTTACCTGAACCTTTATAAGCATGACGTGTTGTGGAGAACGTGTATATTCGTCAAGCATTTACGCAATAAATTACGAAACCTGTACATCTTGTCTCAATCATGGCGGCTTTGTTTACAATTAGTAAACAGTTTATGAGCCCCGAAGCACTAGGAGGATGTTGATAACAATAATAGCTTTAGCTTGTGAAGTTTTATAGCTCATAAACTGCTTAATAAACATGAACAAAGTCGCAATGATTAAAGAAAGATGTATACAGGTTCCGAACGTATTGGGGGACATGCTGGTTGACGCCTGGCCTCGCTCATCTGGCTATCTTCTTGAGGTTATATCTTGAGTTGATTTCGGGGCTTTAGTGTCCCCGCGGCCCGGTCCTTGACCAGGCCTCCACCCCCAGGAAGCAGCCCGTGACAGCTGACTAACACCCAGGTACCTATTTACTGCTAGGTAACAGGAGCATTCAGGGTGAAAGAAACTTTGCCCATTTGTTTCTGCCTCGTGCGGGAATCGAACCCGCGCCACAGAATTACGAGTCCTGCGCGCTATCCACCAGGCTACGAGGCCCCATAGCCTCTAAAGTAAATCTACAAAAGGCTAAAGTAATCTACCATTATTAAGACACTAGTCTTCAAGGGCACACTTAAATAGTTTTCAAATTCAATGTTTCGCGTATTGGGCAATATTACACCATATTAACGTAAGTAATCGGGGTAGTGTGATGGTGCGGCCAGTCCTCTCCTGCGTTCACGACGTCACTAAACTGGTGTACTAAATTGACCAAACCTAAACTAATCGAGGACCCACGAACAGAAAACGGGATATCACGTCAATTTTGGAGCCCGTCCTCAGAGCAAATACATTACCTTGAGTGACCAAATAACCAACCCCAACTGTTGGTGACCAACCTGTACTGTTGTTGCAACAGTGAACCCGTTTTGTTGTTGCAAGTGAACCAGTACTGTTGTTGCCAACAGTGAACCCATTCTGTTGTTGCAACAGTGAACCCGTTTTGTTGTTGCAAGTGAACCAGTACTGTTGTTGCTAACAGTGAACCCATTCTGTTGTTGCAACAGTGAACCCGTTTTGTTGTTGCAAGTGAATCAGTACTGTTGTTGCCAACAGTGAACCCATTCTGTTGTTGCAACAGTGAACCCGTTTTGTTGTTGCAAGTGAACCAGTACTGTTGTTGCCAACAGTGAACCCATTCTGTTGTTGCAACAGTGAACCCGTTTTGTTGTTGCAAGTGAACCAGTACTGTTGTTGCTAACAGTGAACCCATTCTGTTGTTGCAACAGTGAACCCGTTTTGTTGTTGCAAGTGAATCAGTACTGTTGTTGCCAACAGTGAACCCATTCTGTTGTTGCAACAGTGAACCCGTTTTGTTGTTGCAAGTGAACCAGTACTGTTGTTGCCAACAGTGAACCCATTCTGTTGTTGCAACAGTGAACCCGTTTTGTTGTTGCAAGTGAACCAGTACTGTTGTTGCTAACAGTGAACCCATTCTGTTGTTGCAACAGTGAACCCGTTTTGTTGTTGCAAGTGAATCAGTACTGTTGTTGCCAACAGTGAACCCATTCTGTTGTTGCAACAGTGAACCCGTACTGTTAGTTACAACTAGGCTATACACGGAGCGAGAGTATCAATGGATCAATTAGTTCTCGTTAAAACGCAGTGTCAGTTGGCCGCGGGCGACGCCTACCATTTTTAACCCAAAATTTTCCTCTTTTTTTCCCCCCCTATTTGTTGGTAGTTTATGAACCAGGTATCAACCAGGTAGTTTAGCTTTATCTATTGATACACATCTTCAGATTTATGTTACAGATGATAGCCCAATAAAGGTGGCGTTTTGTGATAATACCCCCCGTTTTCTTTCACCGAATTGCGTGAATTAATAGATTAGCGCAAGGCTGGCGATAGACTGTAGGAAGCATACACGATACTTTCATTTGATGTATTTGTATTTTTTTTTGTAGTAAGTGAAGCGGGCCCTATTGCCTACAGCTTGACGGTGAGGGCCTCGAGTGACACGCACTCCATCATGAGTGGAGGGACTTAAACTAGTGCCGCAGTTGATAATTAGTGCTTCATTAGGACTAGCGCCACAGTAGGTAACTAGTGCAGAGTGGATGGCTAGGCTAGTTCCCTGAGGCCGTGGCTAGTGGCGTAGAAGTGAGAGAAGGAAGACACAAGAACGTGTAGGAGAAATGGATAGCTGGAAGAAAGGCAAACAGGTGGTTTGTTGCATGTGTGAGCCATACAACACCCGGGGTTGACGCCCACACCTGCCCGCCCCGCGCACGCCCACACTTGCCGCCCCGCGCACGCCCACACACGCCCACACAATGGCGACACGGGCGGGGAAGGCGCGGGAACTGTCGTCCACCTACCAAAGCTTCGCTGACACCGGACCAACTTACTCCTACCTGGATCTGAGTCGCGCCCGCAGCGACGAGTCGCTCATGTGGGCGGCGGGGGAAGAAGCCGCCGCCCTCGTCGCCGAGCTGAGGGCCTCTCTGGCGGGCACACCCATCACCCGCCCTCACCACCACGACGACGACGACGACGACCTGGAGATGTCTGTCGTGTCCACCCTGGGCAGAGTGTCGTTGGACAGGGTGTCGTTAGGGAAGTCCTCGCTGTACAGCAGCACGGGGCGTTCCCTCTCCTTCACAGACCTCCACTCCGCCGCCACCTCCGCAGAGGACCTCCGCCTCTTCTGCTTCCACCCGTCGCGCCTCCCCTGCAGCGCCCACTGCACCTCCCCGCACTCCTCTTCCTCCTCCTCCTCCGCCTCCTCCACTGCCTCCTCCCGCAGCGCCGCCTCCACCTGCGGCAGCGGCGTTAACATTTTGGGAGGCGGCGGCGTCAAGCGCACTCCCATGAGGACCTTCGGCGGCAGCTGGCGCTCCCTTCTTAAGTGTAAGTTGACCTTATTCCGCTTGACCTTATCCTGGTTGACCTTATCCTGGTTGACCTTATCCTGGTTGACCTTATTCCGCTTGACCTTATTCCGCTTGACCTTATCCTGGTTGACCTTATCCTGGTTGACCTTATCCTGGTTGACCTTATCCTGGTTGACCTTATTCCGCTTGACCCTATCCTGGTTGACCTTATCCTAGTTGACTTTATCCTGGTTGACCTTATCCTGGTTGACCTTATGCTAGTTAAGCTTAGCCCAATTAACCATCATTCCAGGTGAGCTTCCTCGGGTAAACTTTACCCCAGGTAACTAACAAATGAGCCTCGGTGTTTACCAATAATGTACAGGTAATATTTTGTAATTTACATATTACATTCAAATGACAGAAGACAGAAGAGTTAGGGGGGACATGGTCACCACATTCAAGATCCTCAAGGGAATTGACAGGGTTGATAAAGACAGGCTGTTTAACACAAGGGGCACACGCACTAGGGGACACAGGTGGAAACTGAGTGCCCAAATGAGCCACAGAGATATTAGAAATAACTTTTTTAGTGTCAGAGTGGTTGACAAATGGAATGCATTAGGGGGTGATGTGGTGGAGGCTGACTCCATACACAGTTTCAAATGTAGATATGACAGAGCCCGATAGGCTCAGGAATCTGTACACCTGTTGATTGACGGTTGAGAGGCGGGACCAAAGAGCCAGAGCTCAACCCCCGCAAACACAACTAGGTGAGTAACTAGGTGAGTACACACACCACATATGTAAGACCAATCCTGGAGTATGCGGCCCCAGCATGGAACCCGTACCTTGTTAAGCACAAGACGAAGCTGGAAAAAGATCAGAGGTATGCCACTAGACTAGTCCCAGAACTAAGAGGCATGAGTTACGAGGAAAGGCTGCGGGAGTTACACCTCACGACACTGGAAGACAGAAGAGTAAGGGGAGACATGGTCACTACCTACAAAATTCTCAGAGGAATTGACAGAATAGATAAGGATAAATTGTTTAACACGGGTGGTACGCGAATAAGGGGAAACAGGTGGAAACTGAGTACCCAAATGAGCCACAGGGACGTTAGAAAGGACTTATTCAGTGTCAGAATAGTTAACAGATGGAATGTATTAGGTAGAATGTAGAATGAATGAACAGGTAGAATGTGCTCTGTCGCTCTCTACCTTATAAACATTTTTTGGTATCTTGCATGTGTTGACTATGTCTCCTTATGCTGCAGGCAGTTAATAAAGCGCTAATTATAATCATAGAGGGTCCAAGGCTTTTCAACACTTTACCGCTAAATATAATGAGCGTTACCTGGTGGCCAGTTGTGTTGAGAAAGGAACTTGACACAAACTGCGAAGGACTTCGTACAAGGTCAAGTGGCCCGGTCACAGATGTGCGGGTCACAGCAGCGGTGATACTTGAAGCCGCTGCCAGGTTGGTAAGTTAGGTTAAAGACCTGGGACCAGATTCACGAAAGTACTTACGCAAGCACTTACGAACCTGTACATCTTTTCTCAATCTTTGACGGCTTTGTTTACAAGGATTGTCAAGGATTGATATAAACTGCCTAAGATTTGAGGCAGATTTGTGTGTGTGTGTGTGTGTGTGTGTGTGTGTGTGTGTGTGTGTGTGTGTGTGTGTGTGTGTGTGTGTGTGTGTGTGTGTGTGTGTGTATTTATTTTTTGTGTCTGCAGAATCGAGGTATTAGCTCTTGGACCCCGCTTTTCTAACCAATCTATTTTTCCTCTTATATCTACTTCATATATTTCGGCGCGTTTGTGCGTGCAAGCACATCTAACTGCTGCACCTGCAGGTAAACAGGAGCAGCAACGGGCAAGGTGTTGCAACATGATGAGTGTGTGTGTGTTGTGGCACATTTTAACCCTTTTTAAGTGAAGCATCGCTATCAGGGGGCAGCACTCTTACGGCTCTATTCATGCCCGTGCCACCTCTTTGAGTGGCTTCATCAATCAATCAATCAGTGTCACTGAAGGGAGGAATACTGGTGGATCATAGATGGAACGGTGAGACATAGAGGGAGGAGGGAGGGAAGGTTGATCAAGTCTATTGGAAGACTTGCATAGAGGGAGGAGGGAGGGAGGGAAGGTTGATCAAGTCTATTGGAAGACTTGATGTGTACTTCCTTTACACCGGGCCCCTCATCTTAAGACTTTCCATCGCCCTCTTTTATGTTAGTTTTAACGTTTTCTAATTAGATCTTGAGTCCTTATGATATCCCCCTTTTTAATCCTGACTTACCATATCCTGCTTCGTGAATTCTTCCATTCCTCTTTAATTATTTTCTATATCCTGTTTTTTTCTATAATTCCAATTCCTTTGTCCCTCTATGTTACGCCTACTATTCAGTTCTTGTATTCTATTTCCCTCTATTTCCGATACTACACACGAAAGTATCTCTAACGAGACAAGTAAAGCAGAGGTGCAAGGTACATTTGGATACAACTATGAAAATTAAGGGCCAAAGACCTTTCAAAAGGCCAAAGACCTTCCAAAAGGCCAAAGACCTTCCGAAAGGCTAAAGACCTTCCGAAAGGCTAAAGACCTTCCAAAAGGCCAAAGACCTTCCAAAAGGCCAAAGACCTTCCAAAAGGCCAAAGACCTTCCGAAAGGCCAAAGACCTTCCAAAAGTCCAAAGACCTTCCAAAAGGCCAAAGACCTTCCAAAAGGCCAAAGACCTTCCAAAAGGCCAAAGACCTTCCAAAAAAACAAAAACATTCCAAAAGGCCAAAGACCTTCCAAAAGGCCAAAGACCTTGCAAACGGCTCCAGACCCTAGACATTCGGGGGGCATAACTAGCTCACCCTTCAAGGTGTTCAAAAGACCTTGATTAACACCTCATCCAAAGGATACCTGATCAACCGGACTGTGATTCACACGTCAGACTGAGAGCAGATGCGTCTAGCAGCCTGGTTGGTTGACCAGGCCAATCATTGGCCCGAGGATAAACCGGACCGCGGAGACATTGATCCGAGGAAGCATCTCACGGTACGTGGTGGTGGTGGTGGTACCAGTGGAGTGTTGGTAGTGATGAGGGTGATGATAGTGGTGGTGGTGGTGGTTCTGATGGCCAAGATGGTAGTGATACCGATGATGTCTTGGGGGTGGTTGGGGAGAGGCTAAGAGGATGTATATAATTGACATGGTCAGCGGCGCTCTCCACGGGAGACATCTCCCGTCACGCAGGGTGCAGTCGCACCTCCACAGATCTCCAGTATCAGCTCTTGATACTGGTAATGGCTCAAAAGGGCCACCACTTACGGGCTATTCATGCCCGTGCCACCTTTTGGGTGGCTTAATCTTTATCAATCAATCAATCAATCAATCAATCGGAGCACTCAGGCTTCCGTTACCTCACTATATACACGAAGCGATGAAAGACAGGGACTGTTACCTAGTAGTAAAATAGGTACCTGGGTGTTAGTCAGCTGTCACGGGCTGCTTCCTGGGGGTGGAGGCCTGGTCGAGGACCGGGCCGCGGGGACACTAAAAAGCCCCGAAATCATCTCAAGATAACCTCAAGGGACGTGACGGCGGACGGGCGGGAAACAAGGAGCGGACGGACGGCCTAGAAAGCAAGGGGGGTAGACGGATGTGACGGGGAACAAGAGGAATGACCGAAGGACGGGACGGGGATCGGGTAGACGAAGATCGTATATGACAGTGGAAAATGGGTGGCAAGGGGCTGACGGACAGCAGCCCGTCCTGCAAACAAAGGCCCAAAGGCCATTCCATGCACCCGCCAAACCCCCCAGGTGCTTAAGAATGAAAAACGGTTTACACACGACTCACAACTGATGACGTCCGAACACTTGCGGAACAAGTGCTTCGCTGACGACTTTTGTTCGAACTACAACGCTGTAAATGCTTCACCCACGTACTACGAATACAAATAATCGCCCACTTAACCTAAACACCCAACTTAACCAGTGCCTAAATATGCACAATATGCAAATATATTATAATATTAATTTATATTTTAGAAAAGTTCTGTTTTGAATGAACAGAATGTCGACCAGGAGACCGGGCCGCGGGGACGCTAAGCCCCGGAAGCACCTCAAGGTAACCTCAAGGTAATGTTAAAATTGATGAATGCGTCTTTGGGGACGACCGCTGGATGGAATGGACTTGGTCTGAGGACGGGGTGTGGACAGACAATACTCGTACACAGGACATGGCACTGACTATAACTGCTGAATCATCTTGTTAATGGCTCCGACGATTATTGTTGATTATGTTAAGGGTAAAGGTCACGAGGCTGAGCCCCTTGAGTCATCACTTGAGCATCATGCAACAGTGGGACGGGTGGGTGGGAGAAGGGAGTGGCCACAGTAGGTGAGCACACGGGGCAAGGAGGCATCGATTGATGATTGATGAAGATTAAGCCACCCAAAAGGTGGTACGGGCATGAATAGCCCGTAAGTGGTGGCCCTTTTGAGCCATTACCAGTATATACTGGAGATCTGTGGAGGTGCAACTGCACCCTGCGTGACGGGAGATGTCTCCGGTGAAGGAGGCATCAATGCCATAAGGAGAAGGTGATATAATCCCAACACTAACAAGCAGGTATCAACCAGGTACCTGAGACGCACACCAAGATGGTAACCTCGGCTGCATATGGGAGGTAGGTCCCCTATCCTCCGTTGAAGAGCGGAGGTGCAACAGGTACTCTGAGAGAGAACTCTATCAACATCAGAGGCCCGAGACTGTTCAACACGCTTCCACTACACATAAGGGGCATAACTGGCCGACCCCCTCACAGTGTTCAAGAGAGAACTGGATAAGTACCTCCAAAGGATACCTGATCAACCAGGCTGTGATTCATACGTCAGGCTGCGAGCAGCCGCGACCAACAGCCTAGTTGACCAGTTCAGCAACGAAGAGGCCTGGTCGACGACCGGGTCGCGGGGTCGCTAAGCCCCGAAACCATCTCGAGGTAGGCAAATATAAGATCATTGTTTAGAAACCGAAAAT